ACCTGCGCCCTGAAGCTGGAAACTCACTACCACTGTGAGGCAGGGGAAGCTCTCGCTGTTGTAGGCTCGGAGCCATGTCTTGGATCCTGGAAGTCCAAGAAAGCATTGATGGCTCGCGAGTACCCCCGGCCAGAAATCTGGCCACTGGCGGGTAGGTAGATCAGTGCAGCATTACGTTTGATTTATATTCATGAAGCCTCATATTTAGTTCACAATCTAAAACTCTGAGTGAGACTCAATAACTATAAATCGTATCCATGGATCAATTACTTCCCAATTTTAGTTAGAAATCCCTATATGACTTAATTGTCATAATTCATTCCATGTTTTTCTTCAGGCAAATACTCTACTGGACGTCCACCGTGACTACCAGTGGAACATTCGTGACCAACTCGTGTTTTTGCGGGTTACGGAAAGGGGCGAGTGGTGACGAATGCCACTGGAAGTGGAAACGAGGAAGGTGAAGAGATGGGAGGAATGTGCCAACAGATTCATCTCCACCAAATGCGAGCAGCTCTCCATCCGGCCATCCGTGAACACACCGTCATCCACCTTGTCCCACTCCGCCATCATCCAGGAGGAGACGATCGACAAGGTCAAGTTCTATGATGCCGTGGAGAACTGTGATGACCTTGTGACCTCAGAGATGAGTCACGTGATGTCTAACTGGCAGTCATGACAGGAGACAAACAGCGGTCTGTAAATAATCGAGTCTGGACCAGACAATCCAGTGATTAACCTCAGCATCGATCTACGTGATAAGATGACACGTATCAACCAAGTCAGCGATTAAGACCACCCGTTAGACGCCTCTTATGACAAGCATGGGTTGCCGATGGCCTATTCTAACCCGGATCGACACGGATACCTGGGTGAATGAATACATGTCTTCTGGTGAAGCCAACTTGCGCTGTTTTCTGTCCATCTTGTCCGTGTATATTGTGCATTGTTCCTGCACAATTTAACAAACTTTATCTCTTATATTTTCAGTAACAGAAACGAAGAAAAGGGTAACTTTGAAAACAAGGAAACAATATGAACAGAAGCCAAGAAGTCACAGGTCATTTCTCAAGAAAGTTCCTGGACTTGTTTGTCACGTGACCACCTTCCTGAGTGACTATTACTACTGGTTGGAGTAGATGCGTTGAACTGTTGATAAAGCGTATTTTCTGAGATGAATTTGTATATTCACTTCTAAAAAATATTGTAAATAGTTGCATAGTATCATCTTGTAAATATGACCCAAATTCGTTCAAATATATTGTCATTGGAAAACAAGATTACAATGTTATGTATGCACTGTACAGCTGGTTGTTGAAATAGAAGCAGCATTTCATTTGTACATAGAACAATGAAACAGAATTAAAACCCATTCTCAAAATATACATAGAGTGAGTTTTGTTGTGTTTCTTTAACCATTATGGGAACGGCGGGGTAGCCTAGTGGTTAAAGGGTTCGCTCGTCACGCCGAAGACCCGGGTTCGATTCCCCACATGGGCACAATGTGTTAAGCCCATGTCTGGTTCCACCGCCGTGATATTGCTGGAATATTGCTAAAAGCGGCGTAAAACCATACTCACTCACTCACTCACTAACTTAACCATTATGATGACCGATGTGAAAGTTGCAAGATGGACGTAATTATAGTCCTTCCTCTGAGATGCGCAGGGGACCGCCACCGTGGTCTAGTGGTAGAGCGGAGAGCAGTAGGTCCGGCCGCGTCATACCAAAAGACATTAAAAGATGGTACTTGTTGTTACCCTGTCTGGCGCTCGGCACACCTCGGCTAAAACAAGGACTGGTCGGCTCGGAGTCAGTATACTGTGTCTGAGTGGGGTATTCATGTTAAACTGCGGCATGGTATCTCAGTGAGCTAGCACTATAAATCGGCATCAGTCCGGACTAGTACAAGCAGCCACACACACACACACACACACACACACACACACACACACGTGCTTGCATGTCGCTATATAAGTGCAATAATCTTGGACGCGACGTTAAACCCAATTTCACCTCACCTGAGATGCGCAGAAAACGGAGATGCTGGACCACGGCCTCACGGAGATGCTGGACCACGGCCTCACGGAGATGCTAGACCACGGCCTCATGGAGATGCTAGACCACGGCCTCACGGAGATGCTGGACCATGGTCTCACGGAGATGCTGGACCACGGCCTCACGGAGATGCTAGACCACGGCCTCATGGAGATGCTAGACCACGGCCTCACGGAGATGCTGGACCATGGTCTCACGGAGATGCTGGACCACGGCCTCGCGGAGATGCTAGACCACGGCCTCACGGAGATGCTAGACCACGGCCTCACGGAGATGCTAGACCACGGCCTCACGGAGATGCTGGATCACGGCCTCACGGAGATGCTAGACCACGGCCTCACGAAGATGCTGGACCATGGTCTCACGGAGATGCTGGACCATGGTCTCACGGAGATGCTGGACCACGGCCTCGCGGAGATGCTAGACCACGGCCTCACGGAGATGCTAGACCACGGCCTCACGGAGATGCTAGACCACGGCCTCACGGAGATGCTGGATCACGGCCTCACGGAGATGCTAGACCACGGCCTCACGAAGATGCTGGACCATGGTCTCACGGAGATGCTGGACCATGGTCTCACGGAGATGCTAGACCACGGCCTCACGGAGATGCTAGACCACGGCCTCACGGAGAAGCTGGACCACGGCCTCACGGAGATGCTGGACCACGGCCTCACGGAGATGCTGGACCATGGTCTCACGGAGATGCTGGACCATGGTCTCACGGAGATGCTAGACCACGGCCTCACGGAGATGCTAGACCACGGCCTCACGGAGATGCTAGACCACGGCCTCACGGAGATGCTAGACCACGGCCTCACGGAGAAGCTGGACCACGGCCTCACGGAGATGCTGGACCACGGCCTCGCGGAGATGCTAGACCACGGCCTCACGGAGATGCTGGACCACGGCCTCACGGAGATGCTAGACCACGGCCTCACGGAGATGCTAGACCACGGCCTCACGGAGAAGCTGGACCACGGCCTCACGGAGATGCTGGACCACGGCCTCACGGAGATGCTAGACCAAGGCCTCACGGAGATGCTGGACCACGGCCTCACGGAGATGCTAGACCACGGCCTCACGGAGATGCTAGACCACGGCCTCACGGAGATGCTAGACCACGGCCTCACGGAGATGCTTGACCACGGCCTCACGGAGATGCTAGACCACGGCCTCACGGAGATGCTGGACCACGGCCTCACGGAGATGCTGGACCACGGCCTCACGGAGATGCTAGACCACGGCCTCACGGAGATGCTGGACCACGGCCTCACGGAGATGCTGGACCACGGCCTCACGGAGATGCTGGACCACGGCCTCACGGAGATGCTAGACCACGGCCTCACGGAGATGCTAGACCACGGCCTCACGGAGATGCTGGACCACGGCCTCACGGAGATGCTAGACCACGGCCTCACGGAGATGCTGGACCACGGCCTCACGGAGATGCTAGACCACGGCCTCACGGAGATGCTAGACCACGGCCTCACGGAGATGCTGGACCACGGCCTCACGGAGATGCTAGACCACGGCCTCACGGAGATGCTGGACCACGGCCTCACGGAGAAGCTGGACCACGGCCTCCCATGTTATGATCTGTCTGTGCATGTACGAATTACGGCGCATGTATGTACAACATATCGATATACGAGAGAACATTTTACCATTGTGGGTTACATTCACGCCCGAAGTGATCAGCAGATAAGGGACTCTACATCTCTGTATAGTCTCCCTAGGCAGATTGAGGGCATATTTTCACATACTGATTGAATATCAGACACGACGTCGCAATAAAACAAAATCATAAATCAATATATTATCCACGAAAAGACCCAACGCCATTTTTTTTACACATCTGCTGTCTGTGATACATTAGCGAACTAGAAGAAAGACTTAAATCATCACTACATCGGCAGGGCAGAATGTCGGATCGATGCTACAACATAAAAGTAGTCTGGTACATCGTCGTCGGTAACAGCAACAACTGCGGTGCGATGACCTTATCAGCGGTGTGGTGTACCACCGTCAGTGCACGTGCAGAAACACGGGGTGTGGAGCAGGGGGAGATGTGCACGGGTGATTTGTGTGTAAAACTTCCCCTGTCACATTCCAAGACGGCCTATCCCTACAAGTTCGCAGGATTCATCAATCTTTATAGATATGAGCAGTTGAAGGTCTATTAATTTAATTGGTGATTTTCATGGTGTAAAGTTTGTACAACGGTTATTTTACAACGGTTAAAGTCGATTCAGGATTAAATTTAAATATGAAACACAGATCGAAAACGTCATGACTATTTTTTAGTTTTTATGTGCGTTTCATATCAGTGTACGTATGTGTGACAATGCATAAAAAACGTGGGAGGTAGATGATTCAATATTGGCAGGCAGGTCGAAGTTGGTTAACTAGAAAACTTGTTTAGTAGACATTTTTTACACGTCACTTCTTTTTCTACTTATCAGGGTTTCACTATTTCTTCAGCAGTGGTCACTGTTACAAATTGTGGAAATTGCTTTTAGGCACATCGTTAACTCCTAACCCATCTCCTTAGTTACTGCACAGACTACAGGCGTGATTGTGTGTGTGTGTGTGTGTGTGTGTGTGTGTGTGTGTGCGTGCGTGCGTGCGTGCGTGCGTGAGGTGGGGGTGAATAAGTTCATATTTTTTAGGGGACAATGGGCCGATGGCCACATTAGGATTTTATGAGTGATTCAATCCGTATGGTAGGAAGAGTAACTTCCCTTTATGAAGTCAATGTCGCAACGCATAACTTGAACAATGTTTCTTTCAAATCGAATGACACCTGTTACTATTAAGACTCATGAAATCGTACTCGAAAGGGTCGCTAAGAAAATAGATTACAGTATAAAGAGATGAACTATAGAATGCAAATGTCGTAAAACATTAGAACCGGAAAAAGATTTGCTGGTGATAGTGCATCGCCGTCGTCGATGAAAATGCCACAAGAGAAGATATATCACATATCTCCTGCTTAATTGCATCACCGTTCGAGTAACATGCATTGCTAAGAGTAGAGTGAAGCTTATGGTTTGTGGGGAGTTCAAAAAAAGGTCTACAAAGAAACGGATAAAGTCGCTGAAAGTGAAATCCCGCGAAAACCGATCATAATGATGTCATACACATAGAAATGCCGTAGCAGACGACGCATCTAATTTCACGACTGCCTTTATTTTGTTGTGACTCAGACTCATGAATTACGTCACTGTGCGGTAAGCAAGAAAAGAAACATTATTGATTGGATGTTGCAATGGGGGATTTAATCACAGCCATCGAATAAGTAAAAAGGATTAAACTTCAACTGCCCGAAGATACCACAAGCCCATCTGTGCGCAAATTCTGCCCAATTTTTTTCTACCCATAGAGGAACACTGCAGTCATGAATTGGCATTGGCACTGGCACCAGTTGTGTGGTCGGAATGGCAACTTCACTGCATGGGATCATGATGATTTCAGTCACTGTTTTGAGCTGGTTGTGTTTGTATGTCCTGTGCATGTTTTACTTGCGCTCGTCAGTGCATACTACTTTGCACAAAGCCAGAAACGGTTCGGAGGAAGTGAGCTACATGTGTCATGGACATGGTTCTTGAAATTTCGTTTCCTAGTAACAACTTTATTGATTTTGTGTCCAATGTTACAAATTATTTTCACTGTTACACTTCTTCAGTTAAAGCCTAGCCTTGCAGATTGTGTTACTGTTGGTGTGATTATATTCACCTGGATCTTACACACTGTATATGTGTGGTGCATTCGGTATCTTCATGCAATTACAATGCGGGGTCCACTAGCAGTGTTTGTTACTTTCCTTATGACAATGGTATCTCTAGGTATTCATTTGAGATCTGTGATCATTCAGCATATAGAGAAGAATTCAAACCACAACTCTGCTGAAGAATATGCAACTTATGTCACTCTTGGATTACAACTAATATATCTTGTAACACTTATCCCAAACAGACGAAGAATTTATAGGACCGATATGTTCACAAGAAATCTCAACTACGATTCACCGGAAACAGAAGTTTTGTCATGGGATAATATAAGGTCATATGGTGGAGTTGACCAACAGAATACTCAGGAAGTACTACAGGCCGAGAAAGGTGTCAATTGTTTTTCTTGGATTTCATTTCACTGGGTGCAGCCTATGATGTCTCGAGGTGCTAAACATATGATTCAAAGTGCTGATGATATTTTTGTTTTACCTAGCAGATTAGGTACAGAAAAAATACAGTATGAATTCAGTCAAGTTATTTCTCAGAGGAAACAGAACATGCAGTTGTATTCTTCAGAGAACCAAGACACCTTGACAAACTCATTGCAAAACCAGCACTTGATCAATTCATCTATAGACTCTCCTGGTGATCTGAATAACATTGAAAACAATAGCAACAACTCTTATGTCAGTTACAGATCTGGTAAACATAAGGATGGTAACGCTAAGTCTAAAAGTGACAGCCTGTTCCGAGCGTTGAACTCTGCATTTGGTGTGGAATATTATCTGTTGGGGATTCTAAAATTACTAGCAGATGGTTCGGGTTTTGCTGGTCCTATTCTTTTAAATCTATTGGTGTCCTATATTGAAGATAAAAAGGAACCAGCGTATCATGGTTATATTTATGCTGCTGGCCTCATGGTATTTACATTCTTAGGAACAGTGTGTTCCACCCAGTTTGACTACAACTCTCAAGTTGTTGCCTATAAGATTAGATGTGCTGTTATAACTACAGTTTACAAGAAAGCCTTGTCTATCAGTAGTGTCACAATGTCCAAGTTCAACACTGGCCAAATAGTCAACTTCATGAGCACTGACACAGATCGGATTGTCAATTTCTGTTCGAGCTTTCATGCGTTCTGGAGTTTACCATTCCAAATAGGTGTGTCATTATATCTTCTCCATCAACAAGTTGGCCTCGCCTTCTTAGCTGGTCTTGCCTTTGCCATTATACTCATTCCTATTAACCGACAACTCGCCATCAAGATTGGTGAACTCAGTACCAAGATGATGGAACAGAAGGATTCAAGGGTTAAGGTGAGCTGGATGATAGTAGTGAAGATTTTATCCTCACAGAAGTGATGGTTACATTTATGCTCATAATCAAAATTGACATTATTTCTGTTGTCCTTTATAAATCTCCAATCGAGTCATCCTATAGTTCTTCAGAAGGGTTAAATCTCATAAACAGGGATGTTATCATATCCCTTGGATTTTATATAATATCATGCTGATTTTATTAATACAACTTCCGTTTAGATTGTAACATATGACTGTTTCTCGCTAGAAATTTATTTTACATTTCAACACAATGTACTGTAATGACAAATGTAAAATCAAATGACAAATGTTTTCTTTATATTCCCGAGGATCGAACACACAACCTTCCCATCTGTAGCCCAGTGAGTGTACCACTAGGCTGCACAGTCGTCTGATAAATCAAAATGCTTTTAAGAATGTCTATTTCAAGCTGTAAGCCAGCAACAGATATTTTACACCCATTTCCTAAGGTTCATGTAAAGTATGTTTGAAACATAAAACTGTTGATAAATGTTGTTTTAAGTTTCCTTTTTCAGTTCATAAGTTAGATAAAACACTTACCTCCTGTTTTTATGATATTTAAAAACATTATCATTCGGATTAGGCCTCGAGGCTGATGCTCCTTGGTTTTATCACGCGAATGTGGGTTTTAAATATAAAAACCCTCGAATGTGCTTTATCCTACCCATAGGCTGTTATAATGATATTGAAAAAATCAGTCTGCAATTTTATCCAATTGTCTGAAGCATGTATCTAACAGTAAATTTCTTTCTGTTGAGGTTAAGGCAATAATCACTAATAGCCACTGACCATGCTGACCGTAAATTACATGAAAATTCATCATAGTTATGTATTGGTTCTTTGATCATGATCACTCCTTCTCATCCTCATCATCATCGACCATCACATTTCATCCTTCCACATTACTCATCATGCTCACTCTGTATTGATAATTATCATGTTTAATGTGTGTAAACAAAATTTAATGTTTGAAGATACCACTTTTTCAGCTGATGAATGAGATACTGTATGGCATCAGGGTTGTGAAGTTCTATTCCTGGGAAGACCATTTTGTGAAGAAGATCCAAACTATAAGAGATGCTGAGCTAAAGAGTCTGAAAGGCCGGAAGTATCTGGATGCATTCTGTGTGTATTTTTGGGCTACCACACCTGTGCTGATCTCCATTCTCACGTTTACGACCTACTCACTCATGGGGAATAAACTTACAGCAGCAAAAGTAAGAACCTTTGGACGTGTTGAAAGTCTTTCTTTGTACACTTGGGGGGCAGTTAAGCAGTTAAGAACACACAATTCTTTCATATTACTTTAGTTAATCTGTCATATGAAATAATCTATTGTTCTTTAACTTGTTTGGGTAGTAGGGGGCACGGGTGGCCCAGTCGCTTAATGCGCCGCGATTCGCTGTGCAGAGTTGCGTCCCTTGGCCGCGCCAGAAACCTATGATTGTGGGTTCGATTCCTGGTTCTCCCTGATTATGTTTCTAGGTTTGTCAGCACCATACCCGTGCTCGTGGGTTTCACCAAAGTGGTAAACGTCAGAGACCTGCATCACTTCGGGCTTTCCTCCCACATTAAGCTGACAAGCCGCGATATAACTGGAATACTGTTAAAATCAGCGTTAAACCCAACTCACTCACACTCTTCCTTGTACACTTAGTGTTGCAGTCAACAATCATGGCAATGCTCCATTTTATAGCAATTCCAGGTATACATCTTTCAATTTTTGTTAACATGTAAAACATATCACATCAACAGGGTGGTCGGCAACTCTCAGATTAATTAGCTCTATTACAGTTTAATCAGTCTTGGTCAATTATTTACTTTATTATAGATTTTTGTTCTGTGAAATAGTTTCGAAACAGTCTAATCATGTTAGTATCATGAATATTAAAATTCAAACACTTTCAATTCTCAAAATTTCTATATGGTCTGCTTTATGCAATCTACTAATTTGTTTGATCCTTATGCACATTAACCATTGTTGCAGAACCATGATCTATATTTTGTTTCCCAGTTAGTGCTCATGGTGATATAGAGCAATACTGTATGTTCTTAACAATGCATTGCACTGCCAATTACTGAGGCACTAGACTAACATCTAGTCTCTGAAATGAACATATCGTACAGAAAAAAAATAGTTGTTAAATTATCTTAATAAAAAATTAATAAAAAGGAGCCGAGAGACTCTCTTCATTTTCAGATACTGCAGAAATCTAGACTTGCATGGGCTGTATTTGATAAATTTGTATCAGGGTCTGTATGACAGGCTACTGAGGCACTAACAGGTTATTTGTTACTTACTTCAACTTCCATGTTTTGTTTTCAACTTCTATGTTTATTGTTTCACCACAGGCTGATGCACTGAAGCAAAGATTTCTTGTAAATTGCATAATTATCAAGAACTGTTATTCTACATTCCAAGCCATCATTCATGCCCGAATACATGTAGTCTGTCTATATACTGTCTGTATAGAATTCCGGGATGTATCTACTGCTACTTTTGATCTGCTCTGAGGCCAGGACCAATAAAGAGGCAGTTGTACATAGTTTTACACTATTGCATTAAATGCAATGTTAAAATACTGCTTAATTTGTGAAATTAAGAACTGTAAGAAAAATCCTAATTTTGAAAAGAATTATGAGTTTTTCCCAGTTTGCTTTATTTAAGAGTCCTAGGACCCATGAAGATCCGGGGTAGAATAGGCCTCCAGCAACCCATGCTTGCCGTAAAAGGTGACTATGCTTGTCGTAAGAGGCGACTAACAGGATCGGGTGGTCAGGCTTGCTGACTTGGTTGATGCATGTCATCATGTCCCAATTGCACGGATCGATGCTCATGATGTCAATCACTGGATTGTCTGGTCCAGACTCGATTATTTACAGACTGCCGTCATATAGCTAGAATATTGCTGAGTACGGCGTAAAACAACAAACAAACAAACAAACAAACAAAAAAGGGTCCTAGATAAATCCCTGGAATTTGAAACTTGGGATGCTCTAAATCTTAAACATTAGGTTTTTGACAAGGATCCCTTGACTTTTATGTTATATTTCGAACACTGGTGAAGTATGTCATACTGCAGCCAATATCTGATTAACTTGTTCCCACACCTTCAAGTTCCCCCTCATCCTGTTCATGTATGTTCCCCCAGGTGTTCACAAGCCTCTCTCTGTTCTTGATGTTGATTGGCCCTCTCAATGCCTTCCCCTGGGTAGTCAATGGCCTCATGGAGGCATGGGTCTCTATGAAGCGAGTACAGGCGTTCTTTAAGCTCCAGGAACAAGACATGGACAAGTACTACTCACATTCCTCAGGTTAGCACCATTCACATTTCAGGGAATATATGTAAGAGGTGGATCCAGGATATTAAAAAACAGGGGGTTCTACTTGGGCCATTTGTAACATCATTGGGGGTGGGTGGTTCCTACCCCAAAAATCACAAACACTATGTGTAAGTCATTATAATTTTTGGACAACAACCAAATCAAAATGTTATAATGTTAGGACACAATGTCATCAGAGGTAACCCTCCCTCTGGATCCACCACTGTGTCTTATATTGTCTTTCAATATGAACTCATGTATTTGCCGACTGTTTTCAGTCTTTTCTTTTCCAATATGTATAACGTTTATTTATCCTTACATACTGTCTTAGGTTAGTTTTGGGGGCACAGATGGCCCAGTCGTCTAAGGGGCCGCAATTCGCTGTGCAGAGTTGCATCCCTTGGGCACGCCGCCAGAAACCTATAATTGTGGATTCGAATCCTGGTTCACCCTGATTATGTTTCTAGGTTTGTCAGCACCATACTGTGCTCTTGGGTTTCACCAAAGTGGTAAATGTCTGAGACCTGCATCACTTTGGACTTTCCTCTCACATCAAGCTGACATGCCATGATATAACTAGTTTAGAGTAATGGCTTAAGTCTAGGACCGCATTATAATTGATTATGTGCCAATATTTGCCTGGGAATATGCAGCATCTAGATGATATAGTAGAAGTTTGTATTGCTATACACATATAGAGGATAATAAGTCTTTAAGCTTAGGGGTTATGTTCTTTTGACAAATGTGTCAATATATATCTTTAGTACATAATGAATTCATTGATAGCTGTTCATGGGCCTCTGATGGAAGTCAACAATGGTAGCTTCTCCTGGCAAAACATTCCTAACATCCAGTCCTCCGACCAGCCCTCCGACCAGCCCTCCGACCAGCCCTCCGACCAATCCTCTGACGAATCGCCTACCGCTGTGACACCAACCACACTCAAACTCAGGGACATCAATCTCAACATCAAAAAGGTAACAGTCTTTGGTAATTTGTAGAAAGGCAAAAATAGTTATATATTTTTTACAAAATTATTATCTTTCTTGATATGATATTCACTGAAATTGATAGAGTATGCCAATTGTAAAAACTCAGTTCATGTTTGACTTCGAGAATGATGGGTATGACCATGAGTGACATTGTATGTGGTTGTTCATTCATATTAAGAATGGTTATTGGAAGACGGAAGCATATCACAAGATATTTTCATTCTTAACAACTTTCAATGTGGAATGTATCATCATTGCCTTGGATGTTCACTGACCATGATTGATAGATATGTGAAATCAAAGGGAGTTAACGATAAACTAAGCAGAATCTTTGCGAGAAATATTTTATTTTGTATTTTGGTATTACCATATAACATTTTGAAGGCTATCACATAATCAATCTTTATATACTAATTTTTCCTAATGAAAAAAGATACAGTGCTTCATAAAAAGTTCAATAAAATATGAAATTTATTTCTAAATTAAATAATGCATCTTTCAACACATTTCACCTCGACTTTAAGGTCGTGATTCACAATTTGCCTGTTCATGCATGGAGCACAATTGTTTGTTTGGAGCATGACACTCACATGTTTTTAATGTGAACAGCACTCAATGGTTGTTTAGCTGTCAGGTACTTAAAGAAACACTTTTTTTTACTGTAAATAACTCTTACACAATGCCACGGCATGTTAATAATCAAGATCTATGTGCCATGGGTATGCTGCAAACAGGAATGGTGCAAACAAACTTGCCAGACATTTTAGTGTTCATCAAAACACAATGTCATCTCTTTGGAGACATTATCTACAGCAGGACAATACTCATGACATCCATGTGTGATGCCATTTTTGGTTGTGCATCTACGGAATCGATACCAAACTGCCACATTAACAACTCGGACAATTCCTGGGTTGAGACCAATTAGTGGCAGAAGCACAACCTCCAGCCCTGATGTCCACCGATACGCCAATTTTGCATCCATGTCACTCAGGCACGACTAGCTTTGTGTAGACAGCATGTGATAGTCAGAAGACAAGCCTGGGACAGTATACTGTTCACAGATGAGTCCAGGTTTCAGCTCTGATGGTAGTTCAAAGACCTTAAGGCATCAAGGAGAACGTTTAAGCGACACTTGCATTACTCAAAGTCATTTGTTTGGGGGTGGAAGTGAAGTATGGGGTGGCATACGAACCTCCTTAACAATTTTCATTTGGTTCATGACATCAGATGACAATAGGTTCTTTCCAACTGAGGGGCGGTCGGGTAGACTAGTGGTTAAAGCGTTCGCTCGTCACGCCGAAGACCCGGGTTCGATTCCCGACATGGGTACAATGTGTGAAGCCTATTTCTGGTGTCCCCCGCCGTGATATTGCTGGAATATTGCTAAAAGCGGCGTAAAATCATACTCACTCACTCACTCTTTCCAACTGATTGGTTCAAGACAAATCAAGTCTTGTTGGGAAGATTGTCTATGATCTATGAAAGATAATATAATCACTAAATCACTATTATGCAGCCTGTGCCAAAACGCTTTGAGAGCACTAACCCGAACTTGGCTCCTAGCATAATTCTCAATAGAATATAGGACTGTTATTATAGAGATTACTTGACCTAACAGAATGTTTCTTTTAAGTCATGCCGTACTTGGTCATATCTTAAACATTTTAAAAGCAGATAAATCATTTCTTTTGTATGATCAGATTGTTTCAATATTTCAGGGTCAGTTTATTGGCGTGATTGGGAAAGTAGGATCAGGCAAAAGCAGCCTCTTCAGTGCCCTGATGGCGGAGATGAAGAAAGATGGGGGATCAGTGACTGTGGAGAACTTGTCAGATGGTTTCGCTCTGGTAGCCCAGGAACCATGGGTCCAACATGCAACCGTGAAAGAAAATATCCTGTTTGGGAAAAGATATGAAGTCCGAAGATATGACAGTGTATTGGATGCATGTGCTTTGGTTGATGACTTGAAGGTAAGCTTAGTGTGTGGGTCATTTCAACAGTGTGCTATATTTTCGTAATTTTTGCTCATGAATTCACTGGCTTCTTTTCGTTTCTTCTCTGAACAATATGTGTCTTTCAGATTTGCAGTATTTGATACCTATGAGGTTAAACTTGATAATATTCCTTGGTATCAAAAACTGGCTAATTCTAAGACACGTAAAAGTTATTTGCAAGTTTATTGTCTTGCTATTGAATCAATGTTATGTTGGCCTGTTCGAAATGTTGTTCTTCTTTCATTCCTGATGAAATTGACATATTTATCAAAAAGGTTTTTGTACCCAGTGATCAGTTGAAAATATTGCCTCTGGGATGTAGTGGATAGAGTGTCTGCCCAGAGAGTGGAAGGTTGCATCATAACAACAGACGTTAAAAGATGGTCCTTGTTTCCCACGCCCGTGCTCGGCATTGGGGGTTAAAACGAAGACCAGTTGGCTTGAGTTGGTATATACTGTGTCTGTGTGGGTTGTCCACATTAAGCTGGACCATAGTATCTCAGTGAGCTAGCACAACAAACTGCAATAGTCATGAACAGGACTTTTAGCCCCATTTCATGTTACCTCCAAAACATTGGCTTTCTATCTTCCTGTTTTTCTGGCTTTCCGGTCTCTGTCATTAAATGTTGACTGTTGTGATTGTGTTCTGTTTGTAGATGTTGCCTGCAGGAGACCACACCGAGATCGGGGAGAATGGCGTCACCCTCAGTGGGGGTCAGAAGGCCAGGATCGCCTTGGCCAGAGCGGTCTATCAGGTAAACACAGTAAGAAACACACAATAGCATACAGTAAACTATGTTGATATTGAACACGCTTAAAACAAACTGACGGATATAACAAACTGACGGATATAACAAACTGTTCGTTTGGTCCTGGCAATTTGCTGTATATTATATCAAAGAAAATTGATGGATATAACGAACACGCTTATAATGAAATAACGGATACAGCAAACTCACTTTGTGGTTCTGTGTGTACTCTGTCAACGATAATGTTTAAATTTATAATGAACTGTTAATTCCTGAGCTGAGCTGCTCACGTGTCACCAATCTGCCACGCGCGGCTGTTCAAAGTGGCAATAAACAATGGAAGGCAATTGATTTACTCTTAAGTACTGACACCTTGTCCTCAAATTACACCCTCAATAAACAATAGTAACACTGATTAGGCTACAGTCTTTTTAAAAAAATTATTTTTTTAAGCAAATGTTTACTTCAGCTGAAGTCTTTGTTGGAGCGAACGGGAGAGAAATGTCAATATAGCTGTAAATTGTGATTATTTTCTGCATGTCACAATTTTGTAATGACTTCTTTTTAAATGGTTTAAAAGTGATATGAGGATCTATTTTAAAAGATGATTACTAGCTTGGCCAACTGAGTAACTGTACATGCTTTAATGATATCGCATCGTGTGCATTAGGATGTCTGAAACACGTCTCTTGTAATCTCTTGATCAACAAGTTCTCTCTCACTCGGGTAATTCAAGACTTCTGACACTCCCTTTCAAAAAAACAGTATGACACACATGCTCATATAATAATCTCCATCTACAGTAAACTACATTTATAACAAACACGCTTATAACGAACTGATGGATATAACAAACTGCTTTTTGGGTCCTGTTCATTTGCTGTATATATGCTTATAACAAACCACAATCATAACAAACTAAAATTAGTGGTCCTTTTGAGTTCGTTACAACCATAATTTACTGTATTTCAATGCTGCACCCTCTGTTCACTACAGGATAAAGATGTCTACTTCCTTGATGACCCCTTGGCTGCTGTAGATGCTCACGTTGCCAAGCACCTGTATCAGAAGTGCATCATGGGATTGTTGAAGCAGAAGACTAGGATCCTGTCCACTCATCACACACAGTTCCTGGCCGAGGCTGACCATGTCATAGTTATGGATAATGGATGCATTGTGCAAGCTGGTGAGAGAATAAGCTCAAAATTATTTCAGTGACTCAATGGAGAAATATGTATGTGTTGATCAAGATTTCAGTTTTAGTTAGCTTTGTATCTTGAATTGTTTTGACTGATTACTTGTAGACAATGTACACATAGGATATAAACCCATGGGGAACCAGGTTAGAACAGTCCCAAGCACTCTCTATTTTAGTCAGAAGAGTTGAACAAAATGTTTTGGGTGGTCAGGCATTGTGACTTTACTGATTGTGAGTGGTACAAAATCAGACATTGCTAATTCTTTCAGTCAGTGATTTGCTAGGAGCATACTCTGTTATTTACAGGCCACTTTGATTTAGCTGGAATAGTGCTGACTGTCAGTTCAACTTCCCTGTGTGGAGTCCATGGTAGAATGGGCCACTCCCAATCCTTTTGAAAGCGGACAGAAATGGGGATCAGGTAGTTTCAATAAGAAGATAAACATTATGTGTTTTCAGATTTGAGGGTTTTAATGATTTTTTCATCCCTGGAAATTTGGAGATTTCATATGTTTAAATTCCTGGGCTTCAAATACTGGCTTTGAATACCATTTGATCACTTATTCAACCAATCAGATTGCAGCACACATTCCCATTATTTTACTTTGTGCATTAAGGGTGACCTGGAAGCCATTATATCTAAATTATGCAGATCTTTCCTCATGCGAAGTCAGTGGTTTGTCTGATCCAGACTTGACTGTTAACAGGCCATCATGATATAGCTGGAATATTGCAAACTGCGGGTAAAAACATCTGCCTGTTCACAAATTACGTCAACAGGTTGTGGACCTAATATTCGTACAGTGGATTGACATCAGGCTGAAAACTTGAAAAAAGTTTGAATTTTGATCAAATTTGGTCAACAGGAATACTCATTTTGTAGAGGATTATAGTATAAGTTCTAGCAGGATCACTTAGGGTACATGGAGTTTTATGCATCCCGCATTTGGTTTTATACCACGAGCCGGAGCCATACCCCATGTGATCCTGCCACAACGAATATATCTTACCAAATTGTTTTAATGTGACATTGTAAAAGAATTAACACAAATTCAAAATTGATAGAAAACAGCGGTTTGAATGAGCTGAGGTTAACTTGTGCTATGTCACAGCTGAACGTGTCTTTTGTTTCTTGGTGTAGGCCCTCCAGAAGAAGTTCTACCCTCGATCCCAGCCAGCTTTGATTATAAGACTGAAACGCAGGCCTCGGGCTCGGGTTCTGACGATGACGACATGGCCCCAGACCCTCAAGATGGAGCGTTGGTGGAGAAGGAGGAGCAAGAGAAGGGTGTGGTCAAACTAGAGGTGTACAAGACCTACTGGTTAGCTGTGGGCAAGTGTCTGTCCCCACTGGTGCTCTTAGCTCTCTTACTTATGCAAGGTGAGAAATCTACCTCAAATGTCAGCTTGTTTGAAAAGATGAATGTAAGAAACATTTACAAAGTGTTTTAAATTTCAGAGGACCCGTGAAGATCTGGGGTAGAATTCTTGCTGTAAAAGGCGACTATGCTTGTTGAAAGAGGCGACTAATTGATCAGGTGGTCAGGCTCGCTGACTTGATTGATGCATGTCATTGTATTCCAATTGCATGGATTGATGCTCATGATGTCAGTCACTGGATTGTCTTGTCCAGACTCTATATACAGTTCGCCGTCATATAGCTGAAATATTGCTGAGTGCGGGGTTAAACAACAAACAAACAAACAAATGTATTTCAGAGTTAGAATTTAACCAGGAAAATGTTATTGTCAGAATGATGATAACATATAACTTGATATGACAACACCTCCAAAGGGTTCCAAATTCTACTCACCCTGAGGATATTTTAAACATGATTGGCAAACTTTTATCTTGATAAGAGGCGTGTGCTATTTTCTATCTTCATTAGACAGCATCTAATTTCTTTTCAGCTTCAAGGAACATCAGTGACTGGTGGTTGTCTTACTGGGTGACAAACAGCCATGCTCCAAATACTTCCATCAGTGGCAATGCTACTTCACATGTGGTCTCATCTTGGTATCCCCAGGAATATTTCTATGTGTAAGTAGTGTACTTGTTCATGATAAAACATTGCTTACAAATCAGTCTTTTTACAAAATCCCTCAACATAGAATTAAGTTATTAATACATGTTGGGTAGATTTCAGCTTCAACCATAATAACAAGATATTTCAAACACCTTGGTTAGCAGAGAAAATTTGATATGATTTGGACTCGACCCTTTCTCCGCTTGCAGAGCCACGCCCTTCATCTCCCCCTCGGCTCCATCTGTCAACAACAACACCATCGTGCCATCCAACATGACCTACGCAGACGACAACATCACCTTCTATCTCACTGTGTATGGGTGCCTTGCTGGAGCCAACACTATCTTCACGCTGTTCCGAGCATTTTTGTTTGCGTATGGTGGCATATGTGCTGCTCGTGTAGTTCACAAGAATCTCCTAGCATCTATTCTTAAGGTGAGTTCATTTGAAGGCCAATGCACTAAAGTATTGACATGTGATTTTGACCTGTGAACAGTATAGTACGAATACTGTGTGTGACATATTTTAGAAAAAAAAACTCAAGGTGAGAGCGTAAATTAATTTTTTCCAAATTCCATTCACCAAGTGAATGCAGATGGGACCCGTGAAGATCCGGGGTAGAATTGGTCTTCAGCAACCCATGCTTGCCGTAAAAGACGACTGACAGAATCGGGTGCTCAGGCTCACAGACTTGGTTGAAGCATGTCATCGATCCCAATTGCTTGGATCGATGCTCATGATGTCAATCACTGGATTATCTGGTCCAAACTCGATTATTTACAGACTGCGTCATATAGCTAGAATATTGCTGAGTGCAGCGTAAAACAACAAACAAACAAACAAAAGAATGCAGATGGTGCTACATTATTATTATCCTGGTCAATGAATCATTGCCACTCGATCTTCAGCCTCCGCCTCCTGGGAGTTTTACACTCACACAAAATAGTTCCCTGGGAGTTTTACACACACACACAAAATAGTTCCCTGGGAGTTTTACACTCACACAAAATAGTTTCCTGGGAGTTTTGCACACACCCACAAAATAGTTCCCTGGGAGTTTTACACACACACACAAAATAGTTCCCTGGGAGTTTTACACGCACACACAAAATATTTCCCTGGGCATGCCAGGTGTCCTGAAAATATGTGCAGGAAAACAAATTGTTTGGCTTCTCCTTTCCAAGAAAAAAATCCTATGTATTGAAGCAGTGACAAAAGAATATTAAATGGTTGCCACTAATAAACTTTGGATACAGCAAACTTACATTCAGGTCCCAAAAGGTTTGGTTTCTTTTACTCAGAGTTGACACTATATGTGTAAGGCCTCAGACATGTGGTGGATTCTCAGATTTTAGCTTGTAGCCTGTTCATGATAGACTGTCACCAATCAGTGGTTTCGATCTAGTAGTGGGATGATCCACCATTGCATTGGTGGATTGCTTTTACTTCTCGATACAAGTATCGATCACAGCCACACACTTAGTAAAAAATATTGATTCTCACCTTAAATGTTTGCTTTTATAACTTGTTATGAAAATTAGTAGTGAAAACATTCATATTTTCATCCATTGCACCATACTTGACATTTTCATCTGGCTTGAAAGATACCTTTAACATTGGTTAGATTGCCTTGGGTCAGTGGATAAGTGTCCAATAATTGCCAGATGCTGAAACCATGTCATCTGCTTTCAGCAATATTATTTCTTGTCTTGCAGGCTCCAGTCACTTTCTTCGATGTCACACCAATAGGGAGGATCATCAACAGATTCTCCTCAGACTTGTACAGCATCGATGACTCTCTGCCCTTCATCCTCAACATCTTCCTGGCCCAGGGGTATGGCATCCTGGGCACTCTCGTCATCACGTGCTATGGCCTGCCCTGGTTTGCAATCCTCCTTGTGCCACTGGGCCTGCTGTACTACAAGATTCAGGTTTGGGACCCAACTTTGGTTTTATAAAGATGTGACAGTGAGAGGTTATTGCTGCATCAGCAATTTTGCAGATGTTTGCAGCGACCGTAAATGATGCATGGTATATGGAAAGCCATGAAGATCTGGGTTGGAATAGGTGTTCAGAAACCAATGCTTGTCGTAAGAAGCGACTATGCTTGTCATAAGGGGCAACTAATGGGATTGGGTGGTCAGGCTCGCTGACTTGGTTGGTGCATGTCATCATATCCTAATTGCGTGGATCAATGTTCATAAAATCATTCACTGGATTGTCTGGTCCAGACTTAATAATTTACAGACCTCAATCATATAGCTGGAATATTGCTGAGTGAGGCATTAATCAACAAACAAACAAATATGGTACATATGAAGGATTTCACTTTATGGGCTTGGAGCTCATGAGTCTCAAATTGATCCTTCTAAAAGGTTTTCATAGGTATCTTTAGTCATGTTTCAGTCAAATATTTCACAATATACGATATTTCATTAAGCTATTGTCCTGTGTTTTGTTCTGTCATTGACTGCATGTACAATAATTCTAACTGATGCATAAGCTTAACAATTCTCCTTACAAATCTGTCATTTTACACACTTTTGTATTAATTAGATGAATCTATAGTGGACAAAACAGACTTTCCTTTGCCCTGGACATGCTGGAGTTGAAGTCAATGTTTAACACTACATTAGTGTGGCTGTGGCATAGGTCCATCTTCAAGTCCATATCCCATTTGACTAAAATGGCCATCTGGTGGTTAAAATCCAAACCACAAATTTGCAAAAGCATCTTTGTAGTGCGTGGGCCATGAGCTTAACACTTGGACATGCTAAGACAGAAGCCAAGAACACCAGTGCTAGTTACATGTTATAATGTCCGCTCTCTGTCCTCCAGCATTTCTACCGGCACACCTCCAGGGAGCTGAAGCGGATCTCCAGTGTTACTCTGTCCCCCATCTATGCTCACTTCTCTGAGAGTTTGACCGGACTGTCCACCATCAGGGCACTCAGGGCAACTGACAGGTCAGTCCTACTTTCTCTACAGGCTTCATGTGATGTATATATTCATTTGCACCAACACGTTTTCCTCATGTTCATCAGTAAATAATTAGGAGCATCTTGACATTTCTATTCTAAAGAAGTAATAAATAGGAGGATCAGAAAAAATATGTCAACAAATGTAAATGTCCTTTCAGTGTTTAGTCAATATGTTTAAAACAGTGTATGCTTCAATTCTTTCCTTTAATATGCAGATGCCACATGTGTTATTAAGTAAATACTGATTTCATTCATCATTTCCTTTGATGGTTTGTTACTGTTAAGAGTCAGCGGTTTATTCTCAGCAGCCTAATTATATGTATGAACAGATTCTGCAGAGAGAACCTTTCTCGTCTTGACACAAACCAAAAGGCTCAGTATGCTACAACTGCTGCAGCGAAATGGTTGGATTTTCGACTGCAAATGCTTGGTGTTGCCATGGTTACTGGAGTTGCATTTGTAGCAGTTCTGGAACATCATTTCCATACAGTAAACCCAGGTAAGTATTCTTTGTTTTCAACTGGTTGCAAATGTGTAAGCAAACTGAATATTGATGGACAGAGCAAAAGTTATTCAATGCAATCTTTTCAATAAATATTTCCTTTAACCTGTTGCTATATGTAAAAACTAAATCATCAGACAGAATTTTGTCAAAAGACAAGATAATTCTGGCAGTGTATGTTTGTGTCAACTTGGAACGGGACCCGTGAAGGTCCGGGGTAGAATAGGTCTTCAGCAACCCATGCTTGCCGTAAAAGGTGACTATGCTTGTCGTAAAAGATGACTAACGGGATCGGGTGGTCAGGCTCGCTGACTTGGTTGATGCATGTCATCGATCCCAAATGCGTGGATTGATGCTCATGATATCAATCACTGGATTGTCTGGTCCAGACTCGATTGTTTACTGACCGCCGTCATATAGCTGGAATATTGCTGAGTGCGGCGTTAAACAACAAACCAACCAACCAACCAACTTGGAACGGACAAGGTATGATAAAGGCCCTTTTTGGCCCGCAGGATTTACATCAGCTATAACACATTCTCTTTTAGAAATAATTGTTAAGCTGACAGTGTCATGATGTTTTCTAGGTTTGGTGGGTCTAGCTATCTCATACTCTCTGTCCATAACCAACCTGCTGGGGGGCGTGGTCATGTCCTTCACGGAGACTGAGAAACAGCTGGTCAGTGTAGAGAGGGCTGACCAGTACATCAACGATGTGCCCAGCGAGCAGTGGGAAGGAGTGCTGTTTGTAAGTTGCTGTCATTGCTGTATGTTGTTCTGGAAGATTTGCATAACTGATCCTGCTCCTTTGTATGTTCCTCATGGAGAACTGGGACACTGCATCTTCCCGAGGCAAGGGAGTTAACTGACTATAAATGTCTAGTTTCCACCCTTGCCGAACTAGGCTGGTATATTGGAGTTAAGTTTTGTCTGGACTAACGAGTCTATGCATACTCCAATCAAAATCGCGCACCGAAATCAAAATCCGGTTCGTAAACTGTCGTGCAGATTTCGATCGATTGCAGGATTTGCAAAGCATGTGCATCGCCAATTCGTTGTCAGCAGATATTTTCCAAATCCTTTCATGTTTTTAATCAAGGTGCTCACGTGATTTGATGCATTTCGCGATGTAAGACCCATTTAATCACAATATAGATCTTGATTTTCAATCAGATCGTCCTGACTGGGCGCCACCATTTTGTGTGAAGCAAACGCAAGTGATACGAGAGGTGGAATCTGATTGGTCCATAGGAGAGGCTTAGAAAGGACATAATTGGTAATAGCTACTGGTGGCACAATGATCAAGCCCAGTAATTCCAGCCTAGTTGGAAACTGGACTTTTAACGTCAGTTAACTCCCTTGCCTCAGGAAGATTGGAGAATTGGGACACTGCATCTCTTTGTCAAAGATAGATTTCACCTTGATTAGCAGACTTGAGTTCAAAGATAAAAAGTGTTGTATGGATATCCTAATTATGTAATTGTTACTATTTAAGCAGCCCGCTGTAAATGTCATTAAAATAGAAGTGCATGTAACTTTCTAATTTAGGTACCTAAAAGCATAGGATTTTGTGATAGGTTTGTGCGGCATAACACATGTTAGACATGGTTCCCTTACCTGAGTACCATCAATACTGTACCTGGAGGCTTGTAACTTTCTTTAGCACTGCATCAGACCACATAAGGGTTAAAAATGAATATTGATGAGTTCAACTGGTGAAGTCCAAATGATTCATGGTAAATGTAAAATTTACACAGTTCTATATTTTCAAATAATTTTTTTTATAAATTTGTACATTATTTAGGGATTGCTCATTTATTATTGATGTGTGTGTGTGTGGGGGGGGAGGGGGGGGTGGGAGGTTGGCAAATTATGATACATTCCTAAGGCCAATCTCACCGGCCCTCCCCTGTAAAAATGATCAGTCCCTTAGCAGAGAATGATGTTGTTATGCTTGCATATTTTGTTTAACATCATTTAAGTTCACTCTATGTTTTTGTTACTTCAGCCACCACCATATTGGCCCATTCAAGGCGCTGTGAGTTTTAACCGTGTACAGATGAAGTACCGACCCAATCTTCCCAATGCTCTAAACTGTGTAACATTTGAAACAGAACCTGCGGAGAAAATTGGCATTGTTGGAAGGACAGGCTCTGGAAAGTCAAGCCTGTTTCTGGTGCTCTTCAGAATGGTGGAGATACAATCAGGGGAGGTAACTCTGGATGGCATCAATCTAAGTCATCTTGATCTTAAGGATATCAGGTGAGGAATACATTTGGTTCATTTTGAAGCAATTAATACATCATTAATACAAACCTGTGCAAGGGAAGGAAGCAAGTTGAGATTTTAATTTTGTAATTAACATTTGTTTCTTAAAGATTTACAGGTACCATGAAATCAAGTTGGAACAAATTCTAATTATAAAATGCAGTACTCAATAATTGATACAGTTGAAATCAACAAAAACAAATAGGTTGAGCTCCATTCAAGATTAGCTGAATAATCCATAAACAAATTAGAATGTAGTTGTGTGGGGCATAAGATTAAACGGAAACGCTTGACGTGTATTTTAGGTCCAGACTTGCAGTCATTCCACAAGATCCATTCCTGTTCAGTGGTTCAGTGAGAGAGAACTTGGACCCTACCTCGACTTTCACAGACAATCATCTGTGGCTAGCATTACGCCGATGTCACCTCATCACCGCTGTGGAGATGCTCGGTGGATTAGATGCAGATGTTGCCGAACGGGGGCGTCACTTCTCTGTTGGACAGAGACAGCTGCTGTGTTTGGCTAGAGCAATACTCACTAATGCAAAGGTTAGTTACAAGGACATGCTGCATGTCAGTTTGGTCCATATTCTAGGAAACCCGTGAAGATCTGGGTTGGAATTGGCTTTCGGGAATCCCATGCTTGTCGAAAGAAACAAATTGGATGGTCACACTCAATGACTTGGTTTGTCATCATATCCCAATAGCGTGCACATGGTCATGGATTGTCTGGATCTGGTGGAAATTCAATTAATTACAGACTACCTTCATATAGTTAGAATAGTGCTTAGTATGGCATTAAACAGCAAACAAACTAAATCATATTCAAGGAAAGCGCTTGTTAATTTTATAGTGCTAGCCCACTGAGATACCATGCCGCAGACACTGTTTTCTGACTACGAGCCCCATAATGCCGAGCACCGGGCAAGGTAACAACAAGTACCATCTTTCAATGTCTTTTGCTATGATTTTGGTAGACCTGACGCTCTACCACTAGATCATGGAGGTGGTCTCATATGACTGAGATAGCAGCGTTAAACCAAACTCACTCACTAATGGTGAAAGTTGCAGAGATTAATGGCTATGAACACATAAATGTTCTGAGAAAGATTGATTGAAGTTCAGTCACCTCCATGGTCCAGTGCAGAGAGTCAGAGAGGAAGGTCAGTGGTTCAATCTCCGTCCGTCTCATACCAAAAGAAACCCGTGAAGATCCTGGTAGAGAATAGGTCTTCAGCAACCCACGCTTGCCGTAAGAGGCGACTAGCGGGATTAGGTGGTCAGGCTCGCTGAAGATCTGGGGTAGAATTCTTGCTGTAAAAGGCGACTATGCTTGTTGTAAGAGGCGACTAATTGATCGGGTGGTCAGGCTCACTGACTTGGTTGATGCTTGTCATCGTATCACAATTGCGTGGATTGATGCTCATGATGTCACTCACTGGATTGTCTGTTCCAGACACGATTATTTACAGACCTCCATTTTATTGCTGGAATATTGCTGAGTGCAGTGTTAAACAACAAACAAACATACTAACAGATGTTTAAAGATAGTAGTTGTTGTTACCCTGCCTGGCGCTGGGCATAAAAGGAATAAAACAAGGACTGGTTGGCTCGGAGTTTGTGTATACTGTGTCTGAGTGGGTCCAATAATCATCAACACAACATTACACCCGATGTCTCCTCAATGAGGAGAGAGAAGGAATATGAAGCTTCAGCTTGCTGATTCTCATGGTCAACAACAGTAAAAAGGGTATAAGGCTTATTGAAATTCTGCTTTTCTATCATTGGTGAAGTTGAAGGTACATGTATTTACACGTACAGTAAACTACGTTTATAACAAACACGCTTATAACGAACTGATCGATATAACGAACTTAGTTTTTAGTCCCGGCCATTTGTTGTGTATATGCTGTATATATGCTTATAACGAACTACGGTTATTACGAACTAAAATTAGTTGTCCCCTTGAGTTCGTTATAACCGTAGTTTACTGTACATTCAACTTGTCACTTGTGTTTAGGTGTTGTGTATCGACGAGGCTACAGCAAGTGTGGACAGTGACACCGACTGTCTGATCCAGGAGACTCTGAAAACAGAGTTCAGAGACAGCACCGTCCTCACCATCGCCCACAGGATCAACACCATCCTGGACAGCGACCGAGTCATCGTCATGGCTGATGGCAAAGTAGCAGAGTTTGCCCCTCCGGGGGCTCTCCTGCAGAACACAAACTCTCTGTTCTACCAGCTGGTTCATGGCCGGCAGTGAGTCGATACAGCATGGTAGGACAGCAGTGGAACAAACACCTTTGACCTTGTGCAGAAGACTGGCATGATGGCTGCAGAACTGAGGTGGTGGTCAATAATCAATATTACCATGAATATAAATGTGCAAACTTATGAATTAAGTATTTTATGGTATTTAAAAGTATATTTCTGTGAATTTTCTTTGTGGTATTTGCAATATTTTATTTATAATTATTGCTCATGGCAGGTAAGCCTGGGAAGAATCAATATTTAATAACCCACATACTCAAACCCCCATTATCCGACCCTACCCGGGTACACACTGTAGGTTTCAACAATTTGGACAATATGTCCAATTAGGACTTGTTTTTTTCGGGCCTTAAAAAAGGTATTTATGTACACTTATAAAATTATCAGATCATGCATACACTGAAGTCGACTTAAGTTATATCTTTTCTCAAACGTTTAAAAGTGAGAAACAATACATGGATAATCAGAAAAATGCAAACATTAGCGACTTTTATTGTCATTGTATTTAAACAATATATCTAACCATGGGTCTGGGTAGCCCTGTTTCTACCCAGGTCCTGCTCAAGTTTCCCGACCCAGCTTCAGGGCAGGATGTATATGTGTGAACCTAACACTATGAGTATATGTGTAGCATGTCTGTGTAACTGCTGTAGATGTTTGGTTGAAGTTTGAAAACCATGGATACTGAAATGTTGCTCATACCTTGCGTCAACTACAAGAATGTACTGTCTCAACTATATAGACACTGATTCTCATGAACAATCTTTTAGCACTGTTAGCTCACCTAGTCCTGTTGGATGATGGCTCAAACAGGACATTTTGACATCAGTGGTTTAGAGCATTTACTCATACAGTGAGTGAGTGAGCATGGTTTTACGCCGCTTTTAGCAATATCACGGCAGGGGACACCAGAAATGGACTTCACACATTCTACCCATGTCAGGAATCGAAAAAAACGGGTCTTGGGCTTGCGAGCGAACGCTTTAACGACTAGGCTACCCGACCGCTCCACTCTTATAGATATCAGCATCATGTGATGAACTTCAGTAAACCGGTGTATGCTCAGAAAAATGAATATTAACTGATATGAATGAGGTCAAGTGATATTGTATCAATGTCAGTTCCTAGAAATAGAAACCAAACTGCATAAGACGAGACCCGTAGCTTGGCTGTAATGTGCATGGGTCTGTAGGTGTTGCAGTGTGTCCGGTACACACAAATGTGAGATTGGACGCAGAAAAAAAAATACTGTATCCTGAGGGATGCATAATATTCATTGTACCTACAGCGCACCATAGGCAGTTATGGATGTCAGTTCATTTATCAGTCATGACCGCTGATCATTGATTCATTCCAGGCTCTAAAGTAATTATCCCAATGTACAGTACACTACACATTTTCATTACTTTACGGGATCCATATTGCCTGCAAGGAATCTCAAAATTAATCACCGGATTGTCTGGTCCAGACTCGATTATTTACAGACCGCCGTCATATAGCTGGAATATTGCTGAGTGCGGCGTTAAACAACAAACCAACCAACCAACCCACTTTTGTAAGTCAAGGTAAAACCCTGAATGTGTCTTGGTTTATACTGTGATCTACTAGTGTCTCTGTGTTTGTGTATATGGCATAGCCACTGAAATATCAATGTGTATTAATGATATCAAATTGAATGAATTTAGAGGAGTGTAGTTCCCAGTGCGACCCTGAAGTGGTTCAAGGGTGCAAGGTGAGCTACATGGCCCTATGACTATTGAAATTATTCCAAATACCGTATTCGACGTAATAAGCGCCCCGCTCTAATAAGCGCCCACAGCGATATTTGCTAATATTTTGGCTAGTGAACAATCCCAATTAGCACCTCTTCCAATTGATCAATGTACACAAGACTTATTTATCCGCGTATAATACGCACTCGTGTGTTATATGCAGCCCATATCATGGGCAATGAAATTCTGGAAAAAAATATCTGTCGTGTCTAACAGAATTTCTTTTGTATCATTTCAGGCGTTCAGCATAAACCACGAAATTTACGATCTTTTAACTCTTTTTTTTCACCAAAATTTTATTCTAATAAGAGCCCCCTATTTCTAATTTTGAGAGCGCCCTGGGCGCTTATTATGTCGAATACGGTAATATGATTGGCCAGTGTTTCATGGTAAATGTCTCACCATTAATCAGCAAGCAATCTGTGTTGGTTGTAGGTATAACTTTACTACAATTTGTATTTGTTTATCATATTGATGATGTTGATGATTGATGCTGGTATATGTTTAAGTTATTAGAATATCATCAATTTTGTCCTGAAAAGCTAGCAGGGAGGCATATGTTTTTTCTTTCTTAATACAAAACAAGAAAAGAACACGTTGACTGATTTGGTCATTTAGGTATGTGTTTGAGTGCAGTATGGTCATTTGGGAACGTGTTTGAGTGCGTTATGGTCATTTGGGAACGTGTTTGAGTGCGGTATGGCCTTTTGGGTACGTATTTGAGTGCGGTATGGTAATTTGGGTACGTATTTGAGTGCGGTATGGTCATTTGGGAACGTGTTTGAGTGCGGTATGGCCTTTTGGGTACGTATTTGAGTGCGGTATGGTCATTTGGGTACGTATTTGAGTGCGTTATGGTCATTTGGGTACGTATTTGAATGCAGTATTACATGTATTAAACAACAGATACAGATACTCGAAAATGACTTCACCTAGTCACACATTAAAAGATGGTGAGGCAGGAGGTTTTAGGGATGGTCAGCTTTGATGATAATCTAATAATTTATTATTCTGACTTAATAGATGGTTGCCAATAGATAAGTAATTAAGTGTTACATGTGCTTTGTAAATATTTCGCTTCATTATCCACCACTACATCAATCCCTCACAGAATCATTGCTCTCTCAACTGTTGTATCAATATTGCTATCTTTATGCAGACATCTATCACGTAACACTCTGCAACTTCAGCCGCTCATCAGAAGCATGTATCCAGTAAATTTGTGTATGGTCTAATAAGCTCATCTGAAAAAGTTCATATATTATTTATATTAAAACGAAAAGCAACAGAAACTATTTTGGGCGTGTTGACTCTGTCTTTTGCTCGGTCTGACATGATTTATCTGTCTCTGAATTGTGCTACACACTCCTGCAGTCAAGTGAGATACTTAGAAATCTACTTCTCTTCTTTCAAACAGATTATTTCAAATGGATGTTCGGACACCTAGAATCATCTATGCTTAATGACTCTTTTTCTTAATCCCTGAATATGTTGATGTTCGTGGCACAGAAAACTCTTCGATAAATGCCAAAGGCTTCTAAAAACTCGAGCAGAGTAAGAGATTTGTTCAGTCTGTAGTCCTTTTTCAGCTGGAAAGACTGTCCATTGAATTCTGCCATGTGAATTCACCAGAAGCCTGATTTGGTAGTACCAGCAAGGTCATGTTGATATATTTACCTTGTATCTTTCTCACTAAAGACGGAGAGACGGTGTCAATATGGAACAAAAGATTGGAGGACACAGGTTTCATAGCAGCTATTCCATGGAACATAGTAGAGTCCTGTGAAGTGGTAACAAAACTGCCAGTCAATCGGTCTTTGGCCACGTTAAGAATCAAGTCTTTCAATTCTTGCAATTCCTTTCAGATGTTCGCTACATCACCTGTTCAAGCTGTTCACTGGGCCTGTTGCCAATGTCGGAAAGTGCAGTGATGTTGTTTATGATAATGATATCGCAATGAAAAGAATGGATGTGGGCTGGGCTGTTGAATCGTCATTGGGATAAGTATCAAATGATGTCACTTTCAATGTCGGTCTGGATAGAAATGCCATCTGGTTTGTTTGGGACATCGGCTGATTCTCCAATAGGCACATGGAGGTACGCATCCTGGATGTCGAGGCTGATCACGGAATCATTGTTGTTGATTCTTGTCCTGAGCAGCCTCAATGTTATCATCCCGAAGTACGGGGACGTTCCAGGTAGCGTCGATTGAAGATGGTGAGATTGTGTGTCATGCAAAGTTTGTTGGATCCCTTCTTGGGTACAAGAAACTTGGGGGAGTAGAAGCCCGGATGATGGACTGGGTCATGTACAATCTCTATAGCCTCCTTGCGGAATAGGGTGTCGATGCTGTTGCGCAGGAGCTGATGTTGATCGGGGGAGTAGGCAACTGTCAACAGGGTAGACGTCAGAGGTGGTTGTAGTAGTAACGGTAGCTGGTACCTCTGACGGAGGACAGTGGTAACGAACGGGTTTTGCCAGAACCGGACTAGTCTCCCACCTACGGCTGTGTTGGGTTGCGATCACGTCGGGGCTGCAAGGTACCTCATGACTTACCGCGACCACGCCCTTTGTCCTGAAAGGGAGAGGAATGCTAAGAGAGTCCTTGAGGGAGGGTCGACAAGGCTTTGAGAGCCATCTCATCCCGAGCGAAGCTTGAAACCCGAGCGTGAGTAGCAGATATGGCACCATTAAACAAAGATGGACCAGAGACCAGGGTTGTTGAAGGAGAGACTTCTTGAACTCGGAATCTCGTGAGGTATCCAAGTCATCTTTTGATAGTAATGTCAGCCAGTGCGGCCCACAAGGGGTTACGCATGTGGTCTATCTGTTGGATTTGGAATGACATTAGTCTGCAGATGGTCGATCCGGTTGGGATTGGATTCCGACAAGTACTGGACTATGGCTATGGAGGAGGATGTGAGAGTTGAGAGTGGTTTGAGAGACATGTATCTGGCATGTGAATGGTGGTAGGTTTGGAAAACCCTATCATGTGATGCAGGTCGTCGTCCAATAAGTGAGCTCCATCGGCCACATCGAAGGAGTGAACTGGAAAATCATCTCTCCGGTACCGGGGCACTTCAATCGAAGGAATCTATTGTATTTTCCATTTATGAATAGTTTACATCTAAACCTGCATGCATTTCTACTATCAAATGTTGATGTGTGTGTGAAAGGGTGTCTTGTGACCTGGCCACTCCTACACCATGATGTGCCTTTATCTTGTAAGATGTCTCTGATGGTACACTGGGACAAGATCTTGGCTGATTGTGTATAGGTATCGATGAAATTGTAATCATATTGACAGATTCATATAGATTTTGAACTGCCTGTACCAGGGAATTGTAATCCATTCCCGGTACAGACTCTGGCATGGGGGCAGCCATGTTGGTTGTGGACAACTGTTCTGGCATGAATGACTGTCCAACACTGTTGATGATGGAATTGGCTCCAAAGTTGGGCCCACTATTGTTATTGTTGCAATCAGCATCTGATTTGTCCATGTCCATTGTTGTCACTGGGGAATTTGCCTCTGTTAGCATTCATATTGTCTGTGAAAAAGCAGAGTTGTTGAAGCTTAAAATTCATAGCATCTTGGAAATTCTGATGTCCTGCTTAATCCATTTGTGAACGATGCGTTTCTTTGGACACTGCCGCCATTGGCATCGTGACTGTCTTGATCACCTCCAATTGTCTGAGATCAGGATCTAGTAGATCGTTTTGGACTGACTTGGCTTGCCATACCGAGCCCTGTAACCTTGCTTCCGATGTGTAGTAGGTCACAATAGCACTGACAATTATGTGTCGCACATGAGCACAAATTTTATTTTCCTGGTTATACCAAAATATGGAATGATAAATGAACAGTGATTTAAAATGCATACACTTCTTTTAGATAGGTAACACCAAAATATGGAATGATAAACAGGAGATGATTATAACAGAGTGCTGAAATGTAATCATGCTCAGTTAAAACAAAATGCAGAATAATATATGAACAGTGAATGAAAGGCTTATGTTTATTCGAATAGGTCCTCACAAAAGGAGGAATAAGATAAATGGAAAGTGATTTATCTAGTGACATAATGTAAGGATATTAAACACATGTTGGAGATACAAATAAATGATACAAGCAAAATTGTACGGTGATACTAAGCACATGAAAAGACTTTTTCTGACTTGAGGTTACAATAAACAATTCTAAAATATTTTAGTACCAATTTATCTGCCATTCAGGTACATACCATGAGTAGTTTATACTTCTGAAATTTGCTGTTCCATGGCTGTGGTTATTTTGAAAGTTGGTTATGAATACAACAATCAGGTCTTGAAATTGAGCAGCATCACCATCACAATTTGCAAGGCCCAGAACACATGATTCCTGACCGAGAGGTCTTTTCCTTTGACTTGTGGGTGCCAGGTATGCCCTAGGTCTTTACCTTTTCCTATTTCCTGCAAAAAACCTTTGATATTACGTTAGCATTCTGCCATCTGTCATTGTTCTGAATGTTCCCCCGTTCTTTAACACTTTTGTTCATGGAGGCATTTCTGCCATGAACATGCACATTCACATTTATTCTTCTCAGGATTTGATTGTATATTTTGTTACACCTGACAAGCCCATGCTTCTTGGTTCAATGCTAATCACGTTCTGTGGTGTGTTGTACAT